AGACAAGCAATCTACAAGTATAGTATTGCACACAGGTTTGAATATAAATTTATGAAGAATAATACAAATAAAATAATTATAGTTTGCAAGGTAAAAGGATGTCAATGGAAGATAACAGTATATTCATTAAGGAAGTTAATACCCTTACTTCACGTAAACAACTTTCAAGAATGAGCACTTACATTCTACCTAAGAAGACCTTGAAGTTTCTACAGTACAAGGTGCACACTAACTTTGTCTATAATTGATGATGTAATAAGGTCTAATGTGGAAAAGAGGCCTAATGAAATCAAAGCTGACATATATATAAACTATGGCACAGGTCTAATTATCGTCAAGCTTTAAGAATGAAAGAGAGGGCATTGGTGGAAATATATAGGCTTCCTAACCAATCATATATGCTTGTTCCTTAGTTGTGTAATAGACTAATGGAGACTGATACTGATACTGTAGCAAAATAGTGGCTTTTGAGAATAATATATTTGAACAATTATTTATTGCATATGGTTGTTTCATTAAAGGATTCTTGCTTGGGGCTAGGCCTATTTTATATGTGGATGGATGTTTCCTCAATGGTCCTTATTAGGGCATCTTACTAGCAGCTTCAACATACGATGCTGATAAGAGTTGTTTTCATTAGCTTTTGCAATAGTTGGTAGTGAAGCTTACGACGATGGACCTAGTTTCTGCAAACTATTAAAGATATCATTGGTTTACTATAGGTAACTATTGTTTGTGATAGAAATAATGCTATCATTGGTACTGTTAGAGCTATTTGGTGGCGATAGATATGCATTTTGCTATCGACATGTCAAGGAGAATTTTAGCTTTGAGTTTAACAAAGTTTATAGGGGAATTGGAAGGAACAACAAGCATGAGGCATGCTTAATCACATTACCTATGCAAGGCATGACCATGAATTTAGTCTAGCCATGGAAAATTTGAGGATGTTCTTTTCATAATTAGCAAGAGGGTTAAAAATTAAAGCGATGTTGTTAGTGGGCACTATCATTATTCCTATTTTAAAGATGGGATAAGATAACAACTAACTTGATCGAATCATTCAATGCTTAGATTCTTGAGGAGAGGAGGCATAATATATGTGTTCTTATATATGAGCGTAAGGACAAGTTAAGTAAGAAATTTTTTTGCAAGTAAGGTAGCCATAAGTAAGTGAAAAAGCTAGTTGGTCCAAATGTTAAAGCAAAGTTGAAGGAAAATATTTTAAGGTAGAAGTTATGATAATTCAGCTGCATGGCTCACATATTCCATTAGTTCGGATACCATATGAGATTTATGTGTGAATTTGATACTAAGGGAATACATACGTAAAGTTTGGCAAATGTCTGGCATTCCTTGCCCCTATGCTTGTGTAGCCATTTAAAGAAGTACATGGTAATGTGTATAACTACGTTGAGGAATGTTATCTTTATAGCTCATAAGAGAAAATATACAATAGCACTATACATCCTGTTGAGACCCACGATATGCCAAAGCTAAATGCATTTACAGTGTCTGGGCTCATGAACCAAATCTTTTTGCTGCCTCCTAGAACATTTCAACAAGCTGGCAAACCTTATCATGTAAGGATTGAGTCTCAACATCAACAAAAGAAGGTTTATAATTATTCTTACTACTATGAAGCAAGTCATATGCGAAAGAGGTGTAGAAATCCAAATCCAAGTTGATGTTACTGTAAATGGGTTATCACATGAACTTGGATTTAGGTGACACACATATAGGTAGTTTTAGGGGGTTTTTTGGCATATAGCAGCCCTTTTTTTGTAAATCCAAGTTGATATTTCTATAACATAAGATAGATCAACTTGGACTTGGTTGACATATATAGGTTTATGTAGATATATATTGGTAGTATTAGGGAATTTTTTTTGTACATAGCACCAGCTATTTGTAAATCTAAGTTCATGCGTTTGTCCTGTATTTTACAATTCTAGGGCAAAGTGTTCTTTTATTTTTTCTTTTTTATTGGAAAAAAAATCCAAAACCTTTGCCTATTTTTTTTGGGGCAAAGAAAAAAAAAAGGCTAGGTGGAAAAATAAAAGTTAGGTGGCAAAAAAAGATTGAATTAATGATAAATAGGTTTCTGATAAAAAATTTTATTTTAAAAAACCTAAATTAAACTATTAACTCAGACAATTATAATTTAAAAAGTTCAATTGTAGATAAGACATTCAATCTAAAAAAATTAATAGATAAGACATTAAATGTTATTATTTGTAATTATTTGACTCCCCATATTTATAATTTATTCTTAAAAAATTATTGAGGATTTAATGGTAATTAATTCGAGTTTTGAATCTAACTACTTGCTTGAAGACTTCCTTCTCATCACCTGTAAAATAATTCATATATTTTATTATTGTTTTGAAATTTGATCGGATTGGTTAATCCGGTAGTATTGCCCATTGTCGATCCATTTAAAGTCAAAATCTGCCTCCTAATAGTTGGATTTCATTTTGCAATGGAAATTAGATATTAAAAGTTCATTTTCTAAACCCAAATTCAAAGATATATGTTTAATAAGGGTAAATTAAAAAAAACATTTCGTTTTCAGACAGTATCAAGTATCAACAATTTAATATCTTCTATTGATTTTTATGAGTTAATTAAACGTAACTTATATTACATCAAATCTTTAGTATAAGACTTCTTAATTGGAATTGATGAAAGATAGTTAAATTATTAATTTTATTTTAAAAATATAATAAACTTTAATTTAACTATATTTAACTAAGAAATTTAAATTTGATTATACTTTCTTTCATAAATAATTAGTGAGAGTTTGAATAGGATACTATTAAAAAAATATAATTAAAAACCCAACTAAGGTTTTATATTAAGTATTAATTATTTTTTTTTAAAAAAAACCATCCGGGACCACAAAGAATATATAAGATCAGAGGTAATAGCTTTCAGCAAATTTCAATTTAGTTTGACTTCGTCAAATGTTTGTTTTGCAAGCTTTGCAACTAACTGCACGCTAAACTAGTCAAAGACTAATGCAATCTATTAATAATCCTTACAACGAAGGAGAAAGATACATCATTTTCTTTTTAGGAAAAATAAAATCAAGTCTCAAAGGATCAATTTTATATATCAATTAAGTCTCAAGTAATTGTAAAGACCAATAAAGTTCTAGAGTCTTTAAGTGCTATTTCGGTGTCACAGAGAAAAGACTGAAACACCCTTCTTCAAGTAATTCTAAAAATACTCGTTTTCTTTTCTGCCTTGCAAAACAAGTTCCCTGTGTGCGACGAGCTCTCTTCTCTAGCTTACCCTTCTTGAAGTAACTTAAAAATGCTCATTTTCTTCTCTACCTTGCTAATGAGTTCTCGTGTGTGAGATGAGCTATCTTCTCTGCCCTAGCGACGAGCTCTTTCTGATCTTCTCTGCCCTAGCGAGGAGCTATTTTGATTGATTGACCAAGGAAAGCTTCTCTGCCTTAGCGTGAGCTTTTTCGATTGACTGACCAGAGAAAAGCTTCTCTGCCTTAATGTGAGCTCTTTCAATTGATTTGTCGGAGGAAAGCTCTCTGTCCCTTCTTTGCCCTAACAGCCACTAGCGACGTACATTGCTTCTCACCTATCTATTCTCATCTTCTCATCTTTATAACACTGCTTCCTCGTCTCTTCTTTGTCTTCTCTCTATCCTTTCTTGAAGGTTTATATCTTGTTCATATGCTTTTGTCTTCTTGCATACGATATGGTTTTCTATTGATTTCACATAACCTTCATATCTATTACTGTTTATGTTGTGTCTGACTGTTCTTAAGCTGCTTGCATATTTTGGCTTCGAAATGAGATCTCCAAGTTGGAAGAAGTATGTGTATGAATCTTTCAACAGGAAAATTTTCTTAGTTTTCTGTCTTTCTATATTGGAATTGAGCTTTGGGATATTTGATTTGACTAGTGGACTTTAATTCTATGTCATATTTGGATTTGGGGAATTTGCTAATGAAAGATGATCTAGTAATTTTGTGCTATTTTGAAACTAGTTTGTGTTATGAACTCATTTTAGTCATGTGAGTGACTTTATCCAATGCTAATTAGCATTTGATCCTGTTGTTTTGTGTTTTATTAACTTTAAAGGTCTATATCAAGGTGTAGACTGGTCAATTCATCAGCTTTGCAATTTTTTATGTGAATAGTTGTTTAGTGTAGGCTTACACTTTAAGAATTGTAATAATCATGAGTGCAAACATCGGAATGGTCAAAGGCTGATAATGCAGAAATAAAATGCTGCTTAAAATGCAAGAACAATGAATATTTATTGACTTAGACTAATTGGAGTGATCATTTTGATTTTGTTTAAGTTAAACTGTCAATTTGGTTAAACATTTGAGTAAACTCATTTGTTTTATGATAAACCAATTTAATTGTGGGAATATTCATAGGAGATTTTGTAAAATACTTCTATTTAGGTGTTAATTTTTGTAATAGAATATGGCATATCAATACGGTGTTTCCAATTCGAGTAGCATTTTGTCAGACCCGGTTCTTGTTCATATCTTTTATGCAGTCTTCTATGTTTGTTTTGCTTCCTCTTATGTGAGGTTCTAAGTTTGTTGCACCAAGAGATAATGTGTGCATCAGTACCCTACCCATTTATGATTATAGTACCCAAATTATGATGAAATACATTGAAATATGAAGAATCTTTATATTCATTCTTTAGTTTTGCCAAGCACTTGAAACCTATTAATAAGATGTTTGGATGTAGCAATTTTGAAAAATTTAAAACTTAAGTGTTGTATATATCCCAACAATATACTATTTTGTAATTTTGTATATCTCATGATCTATTCATTCATATTATATATATATATATAGAGGTTTTAGAGTCCTTAATAATTAGGATGCCTACATGCCAAAAGCTACCTAAATGTCTCTCTTCTGTTTAGACATTTTTTTTAATTAGAACATAGACTTGAAGCAGGGGAGTGCTTTCTAACTCTAGTTCTAATGACATTTAAATAACCTTCGGATAAGAGATAGGCTATGTTTTAAGCTAAAGTGAAAATATGGTATTTATGAATTTAATTTTCAAAAGTTAGCTCTGTGTGTTTATATTATGTCTATGTGTGTGTTTTTCAGAGGATTCCTAGCATTTGTATTATGATGATATTTGTAATGATGTGGCTTGGGACTATAATCACTGCGTATACATGTTTTTTAGGTTTAGCTTATCTGTAACCACAGTGGCTTGATGTTTTCAAAAATGACCACTATTAGCTTGCTAAAATTGAGCATGCATCTAACTTTGGTTGCAGCATCAGGTGTGATAAACTACTTGCAATTTATGCTATCCCTTTTCTCCTTTCTCATATTTGCCAAAGTTTTAATTAATCCAATAAAAGCTGCCACCCTGCATGTTCACTATTCCATAATAGTGTTTATGTCTGTGGCGTGTTTTGGGGTGTAACATTTAGCTGAATCTATTTCATTTGCTTGTTGCAGACCAGAAAAAAAAGTAACTTGCAACTGAGACACAAAAAATTATGGACAATAAGAAAACTACAACAAAAAAGAAGTCTAGATATGACAACTTCAAGGAAGAGTTTCTAAAAAAAATGAAGGAAAATTCAGTGATCTTATAAAAGCCAATAATTAATGAGAGAAAGTTGGTGAAAATTATCAAATGCTAAACAAGAAAGATATAAAAACATGGCTTCATTAGATGGATGAGGCCAGGAATCAACATCTTGTTCCACTATAACGGAATCACTCACTTGTATTTATTTGAAATTAATGAGTCTTTTTTGAATATGATTATTATGCATTGTATGGTGTTATATTATTCCTCTTGGTTTATAGGTTCCATTTAATACGGGTTGCTCTCCTAGCCAATTCAAGGAAGTTGTAGAATACATATCCAAATATAAAAGGTTATGTACTAAGGTCAAGAAAATATGGTTTCAATCTCTCTTGGATTTTAATTTAATAAACTATTTAGGGATTTATGTGAACGAATAATTACTACTTTTGACACACCGACCTCAACACTTGGAATTAGAGGGGTGTGCCTTATGGTGGGAAACCTGTCTCTTTAGACGATGACAGCGAAGCATCTAAAGCATTAAAGAAGAATTATCTTGGCAAACTCTTCACTGAGTTGAAGAGTATGATAATATCTGGCAAGGATGAAAACGGTGTTTTTATTATTTACTCTTAGAACATTTCTTTATCCCACAACAAGTACAACTGTTAGTATGAGGAGTATTAAAAGTTTGAGTGGGAAGAAAAATGTTCAAGAATATGACTGGTCATCTTTTGTGTTGTTAGAGCTTATTAGAAAGATTTCAACTTATGAGATAGCATCAAGGAGTGGACAAGGAAGAAGAATGTAGGAGGATGCTTATTTTTCTTATTGGTATAGACTATTTATAATCCTTCTATATTTTGTTCCAATTTATTTGTTATTGGTTAGATTATAATTATCTGTTTAGTGCAGATATTTTACATGCACCATTTTCCATTGGGCCTAACACCATTAGTAGATGGCGGAATGCCTGTGATGTATTTGTGGAACCAATACATGGTGTAAAAATGGGTTAAGTTGGAAAAAGAAAGTATCCACAATATTCTTTATGGTGGTAAGTCTAATGAAGTGTCTGAAGTTTTACTTTCACTTGCAGCGATAACTCACCCGGTATATATATGTCCATAATTTATTGTGTATATCCTGATTTTTTATTTGCTTAATAAGCTTGGTGTTGAAACTTGATTAGGGTGTAGGGAGATATATGAAGACTTTTTGCAATATGCTAATACCTTTGCAAGTAAAGTGCTAAAGTTACAACAAAGTCTTAACCAGCTTCAAATATCTGATAGTAAAGCTATTGTGAGGGTTGACGAACCAAGCGAAGAAGAAGTGGAGGAAGAGGAATGTGGAGATGAAGATGAAGCTGATGACGATGATGATGAAGATGGAGACAAAGGCAAAGATAAAGCTAAAGATGCACATAATAATGGAGATAGGGATGAAGATGAAGACGATGGTGGTTATGAAGCTGCAGCTAGAGCTGGATCTAAAGAAAATGAGGATGAAGGCTTCGATAGTAAGGAAGAAACTATAGAACTTTTGCCTATTCAAGAAAGTGATGAAAGACAAGATGGCAAGAAGAGGAGGAGAACAGATGAAAGCATAATGATTTGAAGGTCTGAAAGGAAAAAGGTTGAGGTAAATTGGTCACCTTTTCTGAAGGAACTAATACAAGGGAGACTTATCAAAGAATAATAAATATATAAATATTGCACCAGGCGGACCAATGAAGCAGAGGGTGAAGAGTAAGTAATGTGATATTACTTTTTGATAATTATGGTGCATTATATTTGATATAATAACACTTTTTTTGGTAGTTATGTTATTGAGATGTACGATTACTACCTAACTAGGGTCGAATGCCGAAGTCTTAGTCCTAAAAAATGGATAAGTACAACGGTATGTCTGAAAGTTTTAATTAATTAATTGTTTAATTGGATAGTACATTGAGTATTGGATGTGGTTTTTGTAGGTCATAAGCATGGTCGCAAAAGTGATGGTTGGTGAGTAACTTCATGAAGGGGAGGTATGGATGTACATATTTGATTCAGAATTTATGGCCAACCTAAGGGATAAAAAGTTAAGATGGTCTATTTTTGACGATGCAAGGATGCTCATGCCTGATAAACTTAGATATAACCTTGAAAATTGTTATTATCTCTTCTTGGCCATACTTGTGTTCAATCACTGGTTTTGTTATTGTGCTGATCTAAAGAATGAAAAATTTTTCATCCTTGATTCATTGGCTGGGAAGTTATTTAGAGAGAAGAAGATGATAGTTGGATTATGGTATGCTTTGTTAATGCTTTTGCATAACTACTTGAGGTTACTTAAATTTTTAGATGGGAATAGTTATCTAAGATTAGGAACTATTTATAGAGAACTCGCATAATTAAATTGTTACAAGCATGTGACCCAGAGAAATATGTAGAGGATTTTCAGACAGAGATGATATTTGAAGAACTTCTCAAACAAAGTAATGTGTAAATAACTAACTACGGAAAGAACTACCTTTTTATGTATTCATTTCAAGTAGACATTTAGCCTTATCTTAATTGCTCATATTTGTAAAAATGATTGTGGGGTATATGTAATAAAGTACTGTGCAGAATGGGATAGTAGAAGAAGAAAAGGAGGACTGACCATGGAGGACTTTTCAAATGTATGTATATGTGATCCACAATCTTTCTAATTTTTTTCTTCCAATTATCAATGTTAAACTTAAAACTTGTTTATGCTTTTTTTAGGAACAATTGAAACATTTTAGGGTGGATATGATATGGTGGTTGGTAAATCACACGAGAAATGAAGTGAGAAATGAAGTTTTTGCCTCTATCTCAATAGCTAACCGACCAAAGAGGGCAGGAAAGAAGTCTAAATGAATTTTTAACCTGTGACCTGTTTTGATCATTAATCTTTGATGGGTGTGATGTATTTGCCTCGCTGAAGAGCTTGCTCTTCATCAATGTTTACCATTTTGATTTTGTAGAAATTGCCTCTTCTTCAATTTTTTTTTTCCTTGAGTGTCTTAGTTAAAGGTGAAGTATATAGTTTGTGCAAGTGAGGATATGCTCAATTGAATTTGAGGTTGTAACTAAATTACAGGGCTTATAAGAATAGGATTTTTGGCTATAAAATTAAGCTAGCCTTTGTGGGATATGCTTGACTAATTTTGTATTCAAAACATATTATTTGATCAGAACTTTATCACATGCATGCATTTTAGCTAACTAAATTATGATTTTGTGTGAACAAGATTGCCAACACCTCTATTCGGATTTTATAAAGTAGATACTAATTAATACTTATTGTTTTCAACAAATTAAAATAATGTGTATTTCTTGCCAATTGATATAGCTGAGCCATTACTTATATTACTTTAATCAAATGGTGATCCAATTCAATGTAACAAATTAATCATGAAATTTTCTAATTTTATTATTATTTTAGGATAATTGAAGCGATATAAAACATTCTTTGTGATTATCAAGCAAGTTGAACAAGCAACCAAATTAATTATATATAGCCAATGTCGCAACCGTTTGTCAAAATTTTAGGCGGGGTAACTATTAAATTCTTAAGTTATTATTCTAGAACAGAGCTCTAGTAATTTGCAATTGAGTCACCAAAATTTGCAACACTTTTTTAGAAAAATTTTGCAACTGACACTCAAAATTTTGGATGAAAGAACTATTAAATTCCTACAAGATTTATTTTTTTAGGACAATGTTTTAGTGATTTGCAACTAAGACACCAAAATTTACAATTTCTTAGGAACAATTTGCAACTCTTACTAGAAATTTTAGATTGAAGAACTATCAAATAAGAGTTATTCTTTTAGGATAACGTTCTAGTAATTTGGAATTGAGACACCAAAATTTGCAACTTTCTTAGGAAAAATTTGCAACTCGTACTCAAAATTTTGGATCAAAGAACTATTTATTTCTTGAACTTGCAAACTTACTAAATTAATTTTGGACATGTCTTCAGTAATTTACAACTGACATACCAAATTTTGCAACTGCCTTACGAATAATTTTAAGACGACACACTTTTAGCAATCACAGAAGATATGAACTGTACATGTAAGAAACATGTATTATTCATCTAATGCATCTGCACATATTACCTGTCCACATACACAAAAGCATGAACTTAGATTTACAAATGAGGGGATGCTATGTACCAAAAAAAATTCCCTAATACTACCAATATATATCTACATAAACCTATATATGTCAACCAAGTCCAAGTTGATCTATCTTATGTTATAGAAATATCAACTTGGATTTACAAAAAAAGGGCTGCTATATGCCAAAAAACCCCTAAAACTACCTATATGTGTGTCACCTAAATCCAAGTTCATGTGATAACCCATTTACAGTAACATCAACTTGGATTTGGATTTCTACACCTCTTCCGCATATGACTTGCTTCATAGTAGTAAGAATAATTATAAACCTTCTTTTGTTGATGTTGAGACTCAATCCTTACATGATAAGGTTTGCCAGCTTGTTGAAATGTTCTAGGAGGCAGCAAAAAGATTTGGTTCATGAGCCCAGACACTGTAAATGCATTTAGCTTTGGCATGTCGTGGGTCTCAACAGGATGTATAGTGCTATTGTATATTTTCTCTTATGAGCTATAAAGATAACATTCCTCGACGTAGTTATACACATTACCATGTACTTCTTTAATGGCTACACAAGCATAGGGGCAAGGAATGCCAGACATTTGCCAAACTTTACGTATGTATTCCCTTAGTATCAAATTCACACATAAATCTTCATATGGTATCCGAACTAATGGAATATGTGAGCCATGCAGCTGAATTATCATAACTTCTACCTTAAAAATATTTTCCTTCAACTTTGCTTTAACATTTGGACCAACTATGCTTTTTCACTTACTTATGGCTACCTTACTTGCAAAAAAATTTCTTACTTAACTTGTCCTTACGCTCATGTATAAGAACACATATATTATGCCTCCTCTCCTCAAGAATCTAAGCATTGAATGATTCGATCAAGTTAGTTGTTATCTTATCCCATCTTTAAAATAGGAATAGTGATAGTGCCCACCTAACAACATCGTTTTAATTTTTAACCCATCTTGCTAATTATGAAAAGAACATCCTCAAATTTTCCATGGCTATACTAAATTCATGGTCATGCCTTGCATAGGTAATGTGATTAAGCATGCCTCATGCTTGTTGTTCCTTCCCATTCCCCTATAAACTTTGTTAAACTCAAAGCTAAAATTCTCCTTGACATGTCGATAGCAAAATGCATATCTATCGCCACCAAATATAGCTCTAACAGTACCAATTATAGCATTATTTCTATCACAAACAATAGTTACCTATAGTAAACCAATGATATCTTTAATATTTTGCAGAAACTAGGTCCAATCGTCGTAAGCTTCACTACCAACTATTGCAAAAGCTAATGAAAACAACTCATTATCAGCATCGTATGTTGAAGCTGCTAGTAAGATGCCCTAATAAGGGCCATTGAGGAAACATCCATCCACATATAAAATAGGCCTAGCCCCAAGCAAGAATCCTTTAATGAAACAACCATATGCAATAAATAATTGTTCAAATATATTATTCTCAAAAGCCACCCATTTTGCTACAGTATCAGTATCAGTCTCCATTAGTCTATTACACAACTAAGGAACAAGCATATATGATTGGTTAGGAAGCCCATATATTTCCACCAATGCCCTCTCTTTCATTCTTAAAGCTTGACGATAAGTTAGACCTGTGCCATAGTTTATATATATGTCAGCTTTGATTTCATTAGGCCTCTTTTCCACATTAGACCTTATTACATCATCAATTATAGACAAAGTTAGTGTGCACCTTGTACTGTAAGAAACTTCAAGGTCTTCTTAGGTAGAATGTAAGTGCTCATTCTTGAAAGTTGTTACGTGAAGTAAGGGTATTAACTTCCTTAATGAATATACTGTTATCTTCCATTGACATCCTTTTACCTTGCAAACTATAATTATTTTATTTGTATTATTCTTCATAAATTTATATTCAAACCTGTGTGCAATACTATACTTGTAGATTGCTTGTCTACAATTATCAGCACTCACAAAAATATGCTCAGGTCCTACTAGCAAATCCTTCCACTTTGTTGCATTTAGCTCAGGCATTGGTGTTGGGATACTTTGTATTGCATATAGTAGAACTTCAAGATCTTGTGTAGCATGTGAATTCCTAGCTGAACATCCTGCTCTACATTCCATTTAAATCATATTTATTACTACCATTCATATTCATATTACCATAATATTAATCATGTAACTATTAAAAAACTTACTCATCAATTGAATCTCTTGTTGCCTATGTACTTTATTGTATCTTCCCAATGATGTACACATGAGCAAAATTATCATTCAATTTCATTAATTGATTTGTCCCTTCATCATCTTTAAGGTCTAAAAGAGCATTACGATCAAACTTTACTATGTACTTTAATTTTATTCCATTCAAATCACAATTCAAGCATGATAAAATTAATCTAACAAGTCCTTCAAGAGACAATTCTTCTTTGATCATTCTTTCGTTACAACTCCCCCATCATAATGCATTGTCCCATGCATATCTTTTACAACATCTCTACCAAAATGAAAATAACAAAAAATTTTCTTTAAACAACTACTTTTCATCGTACCCAATAATATCAACCTATAATAAACAAAATAAAATGTACTAAGATATCACTTAGAAACAAGTTACTTTTGACATAAGTAATTTTTGCATTAGTGACACAGTGATAACATTCCATCTTAAAATATGAACACTCAATGATAAATTCTTACACTTTCAGTTGTAAATGTCAAATCTTCATGCCAAATCTTTAGAAATGTGAAATATAAAAAGAATCTTTCATATTCAGTTGCAAAAAAGCATTCTATCTTTTTCCTTACAAGAGCCATTTTGTAAGAAATCAAACTTTAATGGAGTCAACCTTTTTGTTCAGATGCAGAGATTTACAAAAAAAAAAAAACCAGTCTAAACACACTAGCCAAACAAACTCAGTAGAGAATAAGAGCTTCCTTGAGTCAATAATTAAGACAACTCCACCTTTTCCAAGCGCAACTTTGTTTTAGGAATGGATGTTCTTCAATGTGTAGCTCTACCACTTACATACAGCTCTTATTAATGGCAGGAAAGAGACACATCGAGAGGGAAATGCTGGAGCTGATGAGTGTACATGTTATATTTAATCATAGGGGCATTTTCATCATTTCTATCATAACTCTGATTTGTGAAAAATAGCATAAGACTTTATTGGCCTTTTACAATTACTTGGGATTTAATTGATATAAAATTGATCCTTTAAGACTTGATTGTCATTTTTCCTTCTTTTTAATATGTGGCTATCTAATTAAGTCATATTAAAACATTGTCAAGCTTAATTAAAGATAATTAATGAGAATTTAAATTCTAAATTACAGTGGAAAAAGAATTTTAAATTTTAAACTCTTAAAATATGTAAAAATTCTTCTTAATTTCTAAAATTCAAGTGCCTAACATCTCACTATTAAGTTGGAAAAAATGTCCATTATTTTTAAAAGTCAAAATGAGTGCCACACTAGCGTATGACTGGGCCTCATAACTATAAAAGTAATGAAATTATTTTCCAACTTACTAATAAGGTTTCATGTGCTCAAAATTTAGAAGTTGAGAAGTTTTTTTGTATATTTTAAGAGTTTAAAGTTCATGATGCCATCTACGCAATAATGTAAGGTTTATAATTCTCATTAACCTTGCTTTAAAAAATATTTTTTTGAATTTACATAAACTTAAACTCCAGAGATGTGCTCAAGTAGTTATGGCTTTTTTTTTTTTAAAAAAAAATAGAACCAATACTTATTCATTAACATCTGATGGGTTATTATCAATGTTGTCTGCCTAGTAATATCCTCTTAGGACCATGGCCTTAAAGTACAGAAAGCCCAAACCCAAAAAAAAAAAAAGCTAATAAGACTTTTCTTTTTCCTAAGTATTACACATAATTTGATAAATAAATTAAACTATAATTGTTATGAATATTAAAAATATTGTAGAGATGTTCATTATCTCATCATATATTTCAATATCTCTTATTATCATTAATTAGTATATTCTTTATGAGATGCGAGTTGTGAACCTAAGCTTAT